TGTATATATATATATATATATGTGTGTGTGTGTGTTTGTTTATTATCATTATGTACACAGCTCGAACAATTTTTTAAGATCGTATTCACTCACCGCCCTATTTAAGTTGTAAGCTACACATGCACAGGAAAGGGTAGATGGCGATTTTATTGATTGTGGAACGTAAATTTTGCCGTCAGGATGTAAATAATTGCATTCATAGAGCGTATATGTTGTACTGTAACGACGGGATCAATTTCCGTTTCTGATACACAAAAAACTGTTTATTGTTCAGCTCGTGTGGCGTACAACGCCTTTATTAGATCCAGCATCAAGTGAATCAAGTCTAAAGTTTCAGAAGGACTCCTTATCTGCTTGCGCAGCCAAGACAGTGGCGAACATTGCTGTCACACGTTCAGCTGTTGGGATGTGCAGGAACTCATCAGGACCTGTAAACGGTGATTTTTTTTTTTTGAATAATTCCTATTAATAAACTGCATTCGAGAAACAAACAGAAACGTGATCATATGAAAACAAGAATTGCATATCAACAGACATACCATGATGGCCAGTTGATCCGGAGAGAACTCCAGTTGCTACAACATCCAGATCGCCGAACACATCCTGGAAGTAGGACATCATTGGGACTGAACCACCGGAGCCAATCGCCAATCTAGGCTCACCTCCCCAGAAGTCTCTGGCTGACTTGTCCATAGTGTATGCCAACCAGGCAGGGGGTTGTGGTGCCAAGAAACTTGGAAGTGCAAGTATCGGAGAGAACGTCACATTAGCACCGTATGGCGAATCGGCTTCGATAATTGTCTTCAGCTCAGCCACAGCCATATCCTGGTCAGTGCCTGGCGCCGTTCGAATGCTGACCTCAATCTCGGCAAATGGGTAGATAGCCTGTCCACCCTGACCTAACTTGGGCATTGTTTCGTGGTTATAAGCTATTATAGTCATCTGTGCCGAAAGGGTGCTTCGGATGAGCATGTTGGCAATATCCTCAGTTGTCGGAGTACTACCATTGTAGTTGGGACCAGCTCCCGCGACAAAACCTAAGCTCGCGTATATCTCATCACCAACCGCTTCTGCAACCGCATAGGCATTATTTCTTTGATATTCCGTAACCTCCTGGTGGAAGGGTTCGGCCAGTATGTCGCCAGTCTTTAAGTCTTCCAATCGTGAGCTGATAAGGTCCATGATGATTCGCATAGGTGATGGTGCAATTCCACCGGCGCTACCTGAGTGCAGGGTACCATTCACTATGTCAACACGAATACGACCCATAACAATACCTCTCAAGGACGTGGTTTCCCAGAAATGTTCAAGATCCTGACCTCCTGAGTCAACAATTGACATGAAACTCGGTTGCACGTTCAGCTCGTTCTTCATAAACTCCAGAAATTGAGGGAGATTCGGAGATCCAGATTCTTCTTCTGTCTCAATCATAATCAGAACGCGTGAGTGGGAGACATTCTGCTGCTGCAACCCCTTCACAGCAAGGATAGAGGTATATAGCGAATAACCATCATCTGCTGCGCCTCGACCATAAAGTTTTGTGTTGTCATCCGTCAAGAGTGGCTCCATTGGTTTCGTCACTGTCCATACATCCTCCATCATCGGCTGTTTATCGGCGTGCCCGTACAGAAAAGCTGTATCAGAGTTGTCGATGGTACCATCGATGAACAACAAAAGAATGGGAGGAGCAGGGCTGCCATCCTCCTGCGTAAAGTTGTCATAGATATGCGATGTAAGACCCTGGACATTCTGGTCTTCAGCCCAGGTCTGCATCAGTTCAAGAGATCCCAGTAACGCACCATTCTCGTACCAATTTTCGTCGAAACTAGGGGACAGACTCGGTATCTTCACAAACTCGCTCAGATTATCAAGCGCATTGTTCGTGTACTCCTCGTGAATGAACTGTACGAGTGCATCATTATCCACCACATGTGTATATCCAGGTTCGTCTCTACGAACAACAAAGCCCTTAGAAAGCCCAATTATCGCTAAGGTAGCAACCGCACAAAACATAATATCTGAATAAGGACTTCCAATAGCGTTTGAACAGATAAGAATGTGTATGTTGCTATCTAAACTGGGACCACCTTTTATACTTTTGAATGGGTAGTATGTGTGGGAAGTAATAAAAAAACCTAAAATGTTGATTGTGACATGGAGTCTCTCTACTAGAGTCAAAACTTAGAAAATTTTAATATTGAATGATAAATTACGACTCAAGTCGCAAGTCACACACACCCATTTGTGCACAACGTCCAGGCCAGACGCAGTCACTATGTCAAATTGACGCACGAATGGGACATTTTTTTCAGAAGATCCAAATACTATGTTGGCCATATTAAAAAAGACTAATGTAATTTATTCTTTCATATGGCATGGAGAGTGATACAAATGTAGTGCTGCAGATTTAGTACAGACTACAGAGTACAGGCCGCAGGGCAATTAGGGCACTCCGGGCAGCCAGGCTGCACCGCTGCAGAGCGAGAATATTCATGATATTTATGATATTTATTTGAATTTTTAAAAAAAAAGAGTCAAAATATAATTTATCGTATTTTTTTAAATTACAAAATATGTATTGGCTTGCATCTAAATACCAAAAATGCTCTTTTTTGTTTTAACAAAACACTCTAAACCCATACATGTAGGGCTAGGCTGTATTATAACTATTTTTTTAAACAAAATAATCACTTTCAGGCGAACCGAGATCCATCACTATGTAAATATTGAATTTGAGTGACCCACGAGGCACGAGGCCGAAGCCCGAAAGGCTGAATCCCCGATTTGGGCCTTTATTATTTATATTTCAAAATAATGGAAATTACTCGAACAGAACACAGGAAGCATAATAACAAGAAAATTACTAAAATAGAGCACTGATGTAGTTTTCGACGTCGTTGTTTTCACTTTTGGTTTCCAACACCGACATATTTATTTAGTATCTAAAAACCCTATTTACCACTGTTCAGTGTTCCGAAACATAAAAGTGATAAAACCACTCGGAATAATTACAGACACATCTACTTTATTTATGATTTCTCTTTTATTAAAGAAAACGTAAATGTCGTTTACCAGCCAGAGGAGTAGTAAGCCAGTTGAGTATGGAGTCTCTACTCTGACTTCTGTGACTTCAATCAAGTTCTTAGTTCAGTCTTCACTGTTTATCGGAAGTCAAAGTGTGTGAACTGAGAACTTGTGAAGTTGTCAGTTGTGATCTAACTTCAATAAGTTAAGTAGGGACACGTTATAAGTTCGAACTTCAACGTAAACTTCTTGTGATAAGAATTTGGGAAATCAGTACTTGATATATTGTCCTAACGTTATAGATTTTGGACCACGATATGCGTAATAGCCAATCAGAATACACACTCGAAATCTGTGATATTCTGCTGACACCAGTCTGGCTACTCCGCTACTATCATTTGGCAGTTGGCAGTTGGCAGTTGGCAGTTGGCAGTTGGTATTTCTCTTAGTGATTGTACACAGCGCGCAGTGCGCAATGCACATAAACACACTACATACATACAACACGCTATATAGTATCGCCAAGCAATCAATGATGATCGATCTTACTATGGACGATCCTGAAGAAAGGCCCCGCTTTGACTGGCAACTCCTAAACAGAAATCTATTACAACAGATACTGCTTAGATGTGCCGTACCTTTCGAAGTCAACGAGATCGTATTTCTAAAACCTTGGGGCATGGGTACGGGGCTATATATTGGACATAGATACTGCAAAATTTGGGACATCACTATTGTGGGAAGAACAGGACAAATTGTCATATAGTACCCAAACGGTTATAAAAGTAAAACTTTAACTTAAAAACTTATTAGATATTAAAAGTTTTAACGTAAAACATATTGAGGTTAGGTTGTGACTTGTGAATCAATTACATCGTAATTTTTTTAGTTGTTTTGTTCTAAAAACAATATAAGTTCAAAGTTCAGTGTTTCTCAATTCTCATGTTTATTTACTTCACTGTCAGTCATCAGTGTTCACTCTTCACTGAAATCACACTTCACTGAATTTAGTGAAAATTGTTAAATGATAATAGTTGTGGCCTCTTCCTCTTGTGACCGTGTGGGTTGTGAGTTGTCGTACGTCGCCGTGGGACTCTGGAGTCCGGACTGTTCACTATACACAACAAGAGCTTAAAAAAAGCAACAAATTGTATTTTTACAAAGTTCTTGCCATATAATTCTCAAGAGTAAAAGCAACTCCAACTCTCTACAAGAAAAGTATGATGAAGATCTATATAATTTCGTACACAATCATGAGGAATATCATTTATTATCTACTACAATAGGAAATACTGTAAAATACATACATATGTAATTTTATATACAACATAAAACATGAGCACTTTTGAAGTTGGGCAGATGTTCAACCTTTCTGCTTTCAGGATCTCCAAACTCCAGGACTTTCTACTCTTATCTCCAGAGTCCAGAGTCCAAGTTTCCTCATACATGACTCACGAGGTCAGTGATCACTGATCACTGATAAGTGACCAGGTAGCCTGAGCCCTGGGACATGTCTTTTAGCTTTGGCGACACTTTGCGACGGTTTTTTACTTACTTTTTTAGGCAATAGACTACATGTCGCGACGGCCTTCTAGTTCTACTCTTGGTATTTTACACGACATGTCGCGTCGTCAGCGACCTCATACCAGGCCAGGTGATCAGACAATATAACAAACCAAAAGTCAAAAACAGTACTGAACAGTGAACACAGTGAACTGTGAACACGGTGAACAGTGAACACGGTGAACAGTGAACACATAGAGAACCGTATGTATGATTAAAATATGTTGTAAACCCTTTACTACATTAAGAGTTTACTACATGTTGTAAAGGTTTTAAACATCCAAAAGTTTACTACATGTTGTAAACCTATACCAGCTCAGTTACTATAGGTGCCTACATAGGCACCTGCAGGTTGCAGCTCTACTACATAGCTCTCTCTAGAGTAGAGAGTAGACAATAAAGAGTACTATAGAGTCTCGAGACGCTAATTTCTACTCTTTAATGTATTTACTCTCCACGCTCACTCTATACTCTCTACTAGAGTCTCTACAGCTGATAAATACTCTCTCAAGTAGAGACTACTCTCTAGAGAGAGAGAGAGTAGAGAGAGAGAATATATTATGTATTTGATATTTCCAATATTGTTCATAGCCTTCTAAATTACACATATTGTTACTTGTTTGTTTTTATAAAAAAAATGTTTTCTTTATACTTTTGAGTTTTGTATCAATAGTACAATCAGTCAATCAATGGTCCTCTCTGGATTAGGGTCGAGAGCAGAAATCACTAAATCAGGTTTCTTACGACGACGCAGAGACCAAAATCTAGGCTACAACCTATGTTTGTATTTACAATGTGTTTGTGGGGGGATACAAATTCAGAAGGGCTTCAAATAGCAAGCCATTTAGTTAGGAAGCGGGAGCGGAGCTGGGGCCTGAAGCCCTGGACACATAAATATGTGTAAATTAACTAAATATACTATTGACTGTACTATGTAGATGGTAAATTCCTTTTTATAAATCAGAAATGAGTCATGATAATTGCGATATTATCTGACCAATTAAACGCACTCAAGTGCTCAACTCATGCGGTCATTGTGGTTGAAAGCCACTGCAAGGTGCCGTGTCACGAGTGCCAAGTCCACAAAGGCTGAGTTTACTAGGAGTTTAGAGTTTTCACTCAGCAGGTTACACATAGTTGAGATTTGTGAGAAGACTCGAGAGTCGAGAGTCGAGACTCGAGAGACGGAGAGAGTGGCCAGAAGGCAGAGGAATAAATGATGAAAATGATACAGCCACAGAGCATAGATACTAAATTTAGACACAGAGAATGAAAGAAAGAAAAATGGTGGCAATTCTTTTTGTGATCACAAGACTGTGCGAGTGTGCGGCGTGCGCAACAATGCCGCAACCTGATTGTCAGCCAATGGCAGCTGCGTCACTCACGTGTGTCCCTCTGCCAGCCAAAAGCACGTTCACATGAAGCGACTATGCGACTAAATACTCTCGAAGTATGTAGTTGATCGTGAGTATGTGAGATCAGAAGTTGTTGATAATGTAGAATTGTAGATACTCAAATAAAATCCTTGCACGTACTGCTACTACTCAAGAGAGACCGTCCCTGCCTCTATCTGGGCGTGTATTCGCAAGTGTGTATAGTCTCGTAAATAAACACAGTTGTCTGGGCGCTGGAGCCAATACGGTGTCGTATCTAGATATTACCATCCAATGGTGCGTGCTTCAGTGTCAGTGTTCGTAAACCCAGAGTGGTACAGGCGTATGAGCGTTGCCGTGTGTATACAATTACATGACCTGCGAATGCGCTAAAACTTACAAAATCACTGGTACAACCAGGATGCGTGCAAGCATAGAGGTACTGCCCTGTATATACTTAGGATGATATGCAATCAGACTACTGTAACTTGTGAAGGCGCTGTATCAATCACGTAGATACAAGCGTATATATGCGTGTGCTCACGCACATGCAGTATGAAATTGCAGATATTGCTTGAGTCAACAGAAGCACTGCACAACCAGGCTGCACACTATACATATGTGCGAGTGCGGATATGTTCGATTCGATTGTCGGCTTGAGTGAAGGCACGCATACAACCAGGGTGGATACAAGTGTAGAGTTCCTCCCCTGTGTGTTTGCACATATGCCTAGTCTAGTCGCTCTGTTTATCAGAGTGTGAATATCTATCATATAATTGGATGCTTAAAAATTCAAGACTATCCGTTAGTTTCGTAGCCACTGCAACACATACCTGTCTAATACTAGCCTAGGTTTTTAAAGTTAGTTCATAACTATTAATAAAGCAAAATAAATAGTCACATAAACAAGCCCGAATCGTCTCTGGCAACGTGCTTGTCTGTGTGGACATAATCACACAAGTCCCCTAACAAGCCAAAATTATAGCATACTATGTGAACTAATTTGTGAATTTGTTTTTGATCGAGAAATTGATCCATTCATATAGCAAAGTTTGACACACCGTCCCGATATTTTCATCGAATCGGAAAGCGGATCCGAATATTGCCGCTCCTTACCACTCGCACTAGTAGAAGCACACCCGCTGCCACCACTAACAGACTAAAGCTCCCCTCGAGGTATCCATGTGACAAACCCAGCACTTCCCCATTGCGTGGCTGCTCTGAACTATGACTGTCTGTACTATCCGTCCATTTAAACTCGTAATCCGAACGCATTGCGGGCAATCCCGGTAGAGCGTGTGCGGAGTTATCAGGCGTGTCAGTTGTCAGATAGATGTCAGGTGATGACATATTTAGACACCGACACGCTGCCGAGGTGGTGGTGGGAAGACCGCTGTTATATTTGTGTTGGTGCACATCTCGTAAAGGCCATTCAGGTACACTTGTGTCCTATTTATAACAAGAGGATGTACTTCATGAGCATATCCGTATGTAATCTGGTTGTATATGCGTCTATGCCTTCACTTATTTTGAAATACTATACATTGCTAAGTGTATTTGAAATGTTACGGTGTATGCATTCAATGGACTAACCGATGTATATATAAAGCACACCCTAGCACTCATTTTGTAGCCAGGTACGACGTACCATATGCGTCCAGCATTCGATACCGAGTAAATCTGCCGAGTCACACGATTATATTTGTGCTCTGTACGTCGGGTATAAAGCATCTTCATAAAAACGCACTAACACACACACACATACACACACACACACACATATATATATATATATATATATATCATCCCGATAATCACGATATACATACACATATGCGTACATACATACATACAGACATACATAGAAATATTCATAATTGAACTTGTACACGCACCTGAGCGACGTAATCGACGTCCAGAATTTCGGTACTAAATGTCAGGTGTGGGTCCCTTGTGCCCTCCACCGCAAACCGCACCAGTTCTAAAAATAGCTCAAAGGTTACCTCCGGCTGATGCACCTCGTCAATTAGATTGCTGTATATATGCATGTACATGAAGAAGATATAATATATCGTCAGTACACACAAATTGTGGATGGTCAAGATTGAGCTTGAACACCAGAAGCACTTTGTCAGAAAGATTGGTGTGTACGTGTATAAGCATCAATAAGGTTATACGTACAGCTCGAGGTTGCTCTATTTATGATAGAAAAGTAAATGCTAATCAGATTGCAATGCATGTGTATGTGCAAGTGCATGTGCATGGTAAAAATATACACCACCAGTACACACAGCTTGGCGTTGCTTACGATCGAGGTTAGAGCAGTACAGACTATGCATAGAAAGTAACAGTATATGTAGAAAGGCGTGGAGTTTTATCACATACGTAATTGCACACAATGATACGTATCTGCGCATCACACTACTAACATGAGCGTTCATATTGTATTTAATTGTCCGGTATCGCACACCATTCTATATAATTCATACGCTTGTACTTAATTGCATATAAAGAATATGAAAATCGTGTCCTTCGCACGCTGTGTATGCCATACCTGTCTCCATACAGCACGATATTGCTACCTTTACCAGGGAGCGTGTAAAGGCCTAGGATCGCTGCCTGCGAGTTTTAGCGAGTTGACGATGCAGCATGTCAGGTTATATTAGTATTCCAATTGCTTTTCATTCAAATTCCAATCTGAATAGGATTTATATTCGAATACTCGGTGGTGCCACCTAACATTTTCTTTAGAATTCAAAAAGTTCTGCATATACACTAACATACACATACGTACACCCACATGCACACACTCTCACACACACACACACACACACACACATACATATATATATATACTACATATATATATATATATATATATATATATATATATATA